TCTTTCTCCTTTTTCTTCTTCCTCCCTCCTCTGATCCCTCCTCTACCTTCTTTCTTAAACCAATGGACTGGTAGATGCCTCGAGAAAATAACCCTGGACCCTCGCAGCGAGAGCACGTCTGGTTGACAAGTGCCCGGTAACCATTCGGTCAATGGGCGGCCTTCTTTGGCCTTGGTAGGAAGTCTTCTGAGCGGCAGAGATTTTTTGTGCTTATTGAGTTTTCGAATTTCTCCGTTTCATGTACGCTATACTCCCCTTGGCCGCAAAACCGCCGTTGGATGAAATTTTGCGATCACCCGCCCCTCTCTTCCAAAAACAAACATGTCCCATTCTAGTACCCCCATTCGCCATCCCCCATTATACCTAATATATTGCTGAAATCCCCTGCACTCTTTACTTCCTACCACTTTTGCGGAGTTTTTTTTAATATTCTCACGTAAAACGGGAAAAACCGAAAAAGTCAACAGCGGGAAGCCTTTGTCACAGAGGCAAAACCTTCGCAAAGCCGAAACCAGTTCTCTGCAGTGACCTAGTACGACCCCCGCCGGAAGTCCAGTGTTCGACGTACCCTGTGCAAGCAAGATGAAAACTGCTGTTGTTGTAACCAGGAATTTTCGCGTGCGTTGTCACGTACGTCCGTGTGACGTTGCAAGTGCAGTCGTTATCACTGAAATGTCTACAAGTAGGTCTTGCCGCCGAACCTGTTTTGCCATTGGGATTCAGTAAGTGATGAGGAAGGAGCTGGCTCCACGCCAAAATCCACGCTACGCTGACGCACCTCGACTGATTTCGATTAGAACGGCTATTAAGGCGGCCTATACCTTAAAGGCAGTTCGCACGATAATCTGGTACTTGACCTAAAACGCCTAACAGGGCGCTATATAATGGGAAAATGGCGAAAAACGAAGTGAAACGGTCAAAACCTGCGAAGAAAAGCCTTCGTTCTTAATGACTCAAAAGCAATTTTGGACGAGTTTCCCGTAGGCATCGTGCCAGTACCGCTACGGTAGATACGGCTGCACGTATGTACTCATATATCCATGCAGCACCGCAGCCGCTTCATATCAATCCCTTCGCTTCATATTTTACTTAGCAAATGAAGCAATACGAGCATCAGGTACGGTCGTCCATTTGTGGGCGGGCGGGCGCGGTGGGCGGTATGTTGGAGCTTGGGCCTTATAAAGGTACCTTGTTTGGGAAAGCCTGCTCAGGGTAGCGGAATTCCGTCCTGCCAGGCGTATTAATCCTACTTTTCTTAGGGATTTATCGTGCCAACTGCCTTTGAAAATAGAGCTTTCGCATTTATGGTTTTTTTTTCGATTCTGCTTCATTTTTTCCCCGAAGAAGCGTAGTACATGCTGATGTAGCCGTAGCTGCCTATCATTGAGATTATTGCATTTCAGGTGAATTGTTCATTCTTCTTCAAAATCGGTGCGTGTAGACACGGAGACAAATGTTCGCGAACGCATATCATTCCAACTTTTTCACAAACAGTTCTTCTGAAGAATTTGTATCACAATCCTGTTATTGATATGCGTCAAGCAGATGCATGTACAAAGGTATGGACTCTGAACCAGTAGTATATTTTTGAATTGAATTTTTGCGTATTTATGTCTGGAAAAGATCCAGGAACTCCTTACCTGATTATAGGTTGGCATGATGAACAAAGATGAACAGCAATATTTCGATGAGTTTTTTGAAGAAATTTTCACCGAAGTTAATGACAAATATGGAGAGATTGAAGAAATGGAGGTACCTGCTTTCAGCTGTTGGAGTTATTGACATTAGTGTAATGGGCCGCTACGGCACGAGGGAGGGGCATTTTGTTTTTTCCTGGTTCCTATTGAATTGCATATGTTACCTTGCTGAGACCTGTAGACTCTTGTCAATGATGAACGAAGATCCTGGCACTGCAAAGCGTTACAGAAATTTACAGGTCTCTGCAAGGGGCTTAGGTCTCCGCATCGGCGACGGGAAGTAGCAAAATGCCCTCACCCAGCCGAACCGCGCCAAGATGCTGCATTTTGCAACAAAGCGCTCAAAATTACCACAGACTGTACCCAACTTATAAACGATCGAGGATTCTAAATGAAAGGGTGGATGGGGCAGTAAAAGTTCCCATCTCCTCGTTCGCAGTCGTGTCTTCCCATCTTTGAGCCCTAAATTACGTCCAAACGAAATGCGCAGAAACAAAGCTCAAAGTTCCAAGAAACCTTTGTGCAGAATTGTGATTGCCATAATAGGGCGAATTACTGCATAGACTGCCGCACCATACCGCACCCAACAAGGACTTCCCCCGATAATTCGTTTTTCTTAGGTTTGTGATAACATCGGTGAACACATGATCGGTAACGTATACGTGAAATTTGCTAGAGAAGAGGATGCAGAAAAATGTGTAAAAGCATTGGATAATAGATGGTGAGCGCTTAGAGTTTCTAAGATTTAAAATTTTTTACTACTACTTGTTTTGATTATTACTTATATTTTTAGGTTCAACGGGCAGGCAATTTACGCTGAATTGTCACCTGTTACCGACTTCCGAGAAGCATGTTGCCGGCAGTACGAACTTGGTGGATGCAATAAGGTCAGTTTTCGTCATTTTTGGTTCACTTTTCAGAAATTTAGACCAATTTGTTATTTGTCTGTTCCGGCGTTTGATAGGTAGGGCTCTGAGTTTTCGGCGACGCGTATCCTGCAAGTAGCTGTGTCAAGGCCATACGACTTTTTTATCACTAATTTCGCGTGAGAATTTTGTTTGGTTGGCGTTATTTTAGGAGTAGGAAAGAACGGCAAAGGGGTAGATATGCATGTTCTGTAAATTGTCGTTTGAATCCATCACTAGTGACAACAGTTTTGTGGGCTGAGGTCTTCGGATGGACATCCTCCCAAAAAGAAGTTACCAGTTTTCCATGACTTGTTGGGCTTTCTGAAAGGCATACATTCCAAAGTACACCAAAAAACCTCACCACTAAATCGATGTATGCCCTGCAAATTTTCACCTGTATTTGCCACATCAATTACCCTTTATTGCCCAGTCTTCGCAGTTCAGCCCAGATTTTGGTCCAAACTTTTTCAAGAGCTTGACTCCCGGACACGAACCTGACATCTGCTTGACGCGAAAACGCCCGGTAAAGTTTGCAAATGAATCTAAGGTCGCATTCTGGCGTCGTAATTACATTTCTGCGGCACCTCTCGTGGCATGAGTTTTCGCGCCAAACAGGCGATTTCTTTGTTCAGGAGTCAGATTACTTCCTTCCTACCCCTCCCCCCGGACAAATTTACAGCAGATGCGCGGATCTTAGCGGCAGGTTGCAGGCGTTATCATGTTAAGCGGTGATAGTACAAGGGCTCAAATCACTTTTGGGAATAGAAGTTGAGAAGTCAGACCACCCGGGAAAACCGTCGTTAAATCCAGCTTCATGGAGAAATGTGGTCTAAGCTTGCCGTGAACTTCGTTAATTTAAGTAAGCTGGGACCA